AGCGAGGACTGCTGCCACCATCCATGCGACAGGCGGTAACGGTGCTCATCCAGAAGAAAAACTCAAAGGGTACCCCGAAGGTCGACCATTTCCGGCCCATCAGTCTGCTAACAAGCGACTATAAAATCCTAGCGAAGATTCTGGCAAAGCGGCTGGAGTGGGGTCTACGGGACGTCGTCGGAGAGCATCAGGCCTACGGCATCAAGAGACGGACCATTAGCACCAACCTGCACGCGATGCGAATCGTGTGCGAGGCAGCGCAGGTGTTGAAGCTTCCAGTGGCAGTTCTTCAGATAGATCTGAGCAAAGCCTTCGACCGGGTTCGCCATTCGTTCCTCTTCCGGCTCATGGAGGAGTGTGGGATCGGGGGGCGACTGCTACGATAAGTGCAGCTGTGCTACCGAGACATCACGACGCGGCTCCTGGTCAACGGCAACAGGACGGCTCCCATCGCAGTTACCCGATCCGTGCGACAAAGCTGCCTGATGTCGCCTCTTCTGTTCGCATTGTACCTGGAACCGTTGTGTAGGGCCATTATCGGTGACGCGAGCATTCGTGGGCTGTCCTTAGCGTCGGGTACGCTTAAAGTGCTCGCCTACACAGATGACGTCCCTTTGTTGTGCTCGTCAAGGACGCAAGTGCGCGCTGTAACCATACACATCGCAGACTTTTGCAGTGTCTCGGGTGCGGCGATGAACACAGACAAATCTGTCGGAGCCTGGCTTGGAGACTGGGACTTGAAACCGGAGCAGTTCCTCGGTGTCACCTGGACGACAAGGGTTTCGATCTACCTATAGCTCAGTTTGACCACAGAGAAACTGAGTGGCCGATGCGGTGGTTTGGACATTAATCGCCTCAGAAGTAAGGTGCTTGACTGGCATGCCAGGGAGCTCTCTTCGTTCAATCGCGCATTTATTTGTAACTCTGTTTCTTTCCCGACCGTTTGGTACGCAGCACAAGTGTTGCCGTGCTCCCAAAGTGACTTGGCGAAGGTGCATCGATTTTTCGCAACGTTTATCTGGGACTCGTGTTTTGAACGTATGAGGCGCGACAACCTTTTTGTAAGCCAGAAGAAAGGAGGGTTGAGTCTTGTAAACGTAGAACTTAAGCTGAAAGTACAGCGTTTCCTATTTTTCCGCGATCAAGGCAATCCTCTCGTGATTTGTGCGTTTAAGGAGCTGGGAGGAAGCTTTTTGGGGCCGTGGCTCGAGGGGGACACTGGGGACTTCCGGGCACGTGCTCTGAAGTTTTACCAGGAAAAAGCAGCGGCGAAGGAATTTTTCCGAGCCCGCTTTTCCGACGAGTACCTGCAGAAAGTTAAAAAGAAATCTCTATACTGCGACGCAATTGATTTGCTCATACCGCCCCCACTCTATCGCAGCTTTCCGGGAAGTGTGGATAAATCGGATGTATTTCGTCGCTTACGTAGATACCCTGTCAGAACGGCAGTCAAGAATTTTTTCCTACGCTTCCATTTCGAAGTACTGCCGGTCAAGACGTGGCTGGTTAAAAAAGGTTTCTTTGAACCGTGGTCAACAAATTGTGCGTTGTGTCCGTTTCCCGAAACACTTGAACATGTGTTTTTGTACTGTACGAATGCGGAGCTTTTTTGGGCAGAGCTTCGAGCAGTGCTGCAGATAGATCTTTACGTAGAGTGGAAGAGCGCGAAATTTCTGCTTTTCGGCGAGAGTGCACAGAGTAGGGCATGGGAGCTGCTGGCACTCCTCGGTCTATATGCGCTGTGGCGGTCAAGGACAGATCACTTGGAGGTCCGAGTGGGATCCAAGCCCGCCTGGCAACACTTCTGCGACGGCTTTCTGTACGTGAGCAGCCTTCTTGAGGCAACGGAACAACAAGGGCTTGAATGTTGGTCGCTATTTGGAACGCGTATGCATAACCACGCTCTAAAGGCTCAATGCTAGACAAGGATTCCCGGGTCACTGCGCGAGTGGCTGCATGCGGTGCATGTGACGCTACAGAGAAATGATTGAGCGAGATACATTTTGAAATTGTGTGTGAATCGCCGTCCTCGCCTGTCAAACAGTGCTCACTGACATGATAAGTGCATGACAACCAATGTGATCATTTTAAAACTTTGTAAATAGACATACCTTTAATAAAAAAAAATCTTTCGAAAAAAAAAAAAAAAAGAGATCGGTGCCCGAGTGGGCTGAAGCGCACACCCAGCTCGACGCGCGTGGAGCGAAAGCTCGCGCTGCAGAACCCAGGGATCCTGGGTTCGAGCCCCACCCCTGCCCGTTTCGATCTGGATGAGTGTCGTACCGGCGTGCGGTCGTGTATCACTACTGCCTGGTGCACGTTAAAGACCCCAGGCTAGCGGTGGTATTGCACTGGCTAAATTGCTCATCTACAGCGTGTGACTCGTCGCAACTTTAATGGCAGACCAACTACACGCTGTATAAATATCCCCACAATACTCCCCCCCCCCCCCCCCCAAATTATTTTATTTATATCGTCAGAGAGCACATTTTGGTAGCCTTTGCTGCTCCTTTTCAATGGTCACTTGGCCCCGCTTGCGGTAACGTTCGCAGCCAATGGTAGCGATGCATCCGTTCCCAGAATCCGAGCCCTGCCCAAGTCCCTTTCCCTCGCACACGCGTCCATCCCGCACCCGCAGACGCCCCTGAACGGTGGCGCAATGTCGCTCCTGGGCCGCCACCGTCGCCGTTCAGTCTGGTCTGAAGAAAGGAAGGCTTCCGAAGACGATAGATATTCCGGATGATTCCTCAAACGTTTTTCGCTGGGAGAGGCTGAACCCGAGAAATCTCGGCGCGAAGAGGCCGCGGATTTATGGTGCCTTCATGTCCCTAGCATGCAGGCACTCTAGCCGGCTTAACCTCTATCCCAGGTGCAAGCAAAGACAAACATAGACAAGCAAAGAGCAAGCATAGAGAAGCAAAACAAAAATGCCACAACGCGCGCGCTTTTTTTTTTTTTTTTTTTGCAATCTTCTGATTTGCGCACTTTTTTCATTCGTGACGTAATCGATTATGAAATTTAGAAGCTTTATAATTTACATTTCTTTAATGTTTAATTACGGCATTCGTCAAATTATGTTTTTTGACACAATTGCGAGAACACTACGCCCCTTTTTTTTATATCTACAATCGGAGTTTTGGAGGTGATGTCATTTCCTGGCTTTTGATCCTGCCTCGGAAAACATGGCAGCGCTCGGCACAGCACTGAGGATTATCCGGTAGTCGGGGAATCGGACGAAGCTCTCTTTTTGGTGCCCCAGGACCTCTCAGACTTCAAAGGGGAAATCGTCAAACGGTCAAAACAACTGGGTTTGGTGTCTGTGTACCGTACTTTCGGTTGTTACCCCCGCCGGGGCAGTTTTTCACGCAGCTACGGCGCGACACGGCCCCTTACGTCGCTCAGAAAAGTCCATTGCGCGTCCTCTTCGACCTCGCATCGTTTCAAAGAAGAGATAAACAGATAGTCTTTATTCGACCCTGGAATGTCGCAGCATCACTGAAAGGCCATTGGCCCATACCTGAGGCCTGTCGTGCCGCAATATTCCAGAAACTTAAGATCGCTGAAAGAGCCCTAAAATAACTTCAAACTCGAAAGTGAAGCGTCGTCTGCTCACAGCACTGATCTCTTTGACAATTACTGGATCGCGCATCCCCGCTCCGCGAGTGCGACCACCGGACGGCCATCTTGCATGCAGAAGGTTTTCGTTTTGCTATAGCGTTGCAGAGGTCGGCGGCAGCGTGCTAAAGACACGTTTCCTGCTCGTTCGTCGTCATTCGCCTAAGCCGTTCTTTAAGATCCTGTGTGAGCCGTAATACCTGCCGTTGAGAACACGTGAATATTTTTACGAAAGCGAAGTACCGCAGAAAAAAGGCCCAACTCGTCGAAAGCAAGTTTCGCCGGTCTCGAGGGCGTGTTCAAAGCAGGGACTCATACCGGACCCGGAACGAAACTGTTATTTGGAATCTATGGAAACTGTAACCGTAACCGTAAAATAATTACCGGTAAGAAATATTAACCGATATTAATCGAGAAAAAAAGTTTTTTCCCAGTGCCGACTTCGAGGAGAGATCATGAAATGTCATGGCCATTTGACAAACTTGACGTCAGCGAGTGGTGCATCTGGTAATACATTTCCGTTAAATCTAAATTTAGAATTAAGAGCACTTAATTGGAATGAATGGTCGAGCTTATAATAAAAAGTCTACATTTCTTAAGCTGCCGCACTCCTACAATCGCTACATCTATTCAGTACGTGTCGCCTTCGGGGTATTGACCGATGAGTTAGAATTCTTAGATGTTCACCCAGCTCGCTTCTATCAAAACCACCGATGTTCCTGACCTGCAATAGCCAGTATGAAGAAACGTGATAAATTGACCATCATGCAAAGCTAACAAAAAAACAATATATATATATATATATATATATAAGATCCTGCGGCACTGCGCTTTCGTAAAAATTTTCACGTGTTCTCAACGGCAAGTATCACGGCTCACACGGGATCCTAAGAACGTCTTCGGCGAATGGCGACAAATGAGTTGAAAACGTGTCCTTAGCACGCTGCCGCCGGCTTCTGCAACGCTAGCAAGACGAAAAAATTGTGTATGCAAGATGGCCGTCCGGTGACCACACTCGCGCTGCAGCGAACAAGTGGGGATGCGCGATCCAGCAATTTTCATAGAGATCAGTGGCTCATAGCGATAAGCGGCACGCACCGAGAAGCGCGGTTATTCGCGGAACGCAGGAGAACACGTCACTTCCGGTCGGGATGGTTCGGAGGCGCGCGGATCGCGCGGGTACTTAAAGTCCGGCATATTAAAAATTACTTTTTTTTTTACTTCACAAATACTAAGTTCCCAAGCTTTGAATTTTGAAGATAATATCCCACATCGTTTTCAAACGTTCCAGAGCATATATATGTAATTTTGACCTGTCAGTGCCTTTTGACTAAATTGCAAGGGGGTGCCTTCTAAAGATTAAAAAAATTAAATTACATTTCCAGATTGGTTTTCTTGCTGTGAGTTGTAACAAACCGTGCAGAAAAGGAAAATCAAAACCTGAAGTTGATGGAATCAAATGCATCGTAAGTTTTCATAACTTCATGTTTATTATTCTACTGGGTGTTTCAAGGAGCGGCCAGGCTCTTCAAATCGATCACAAAATTCGGTTTCTTAAGCTATCGCGCTGCGGCTTTGTGTAACGTTGCCCACAGATGGTGCTATATATTGTTAGAGGGAGACAAAGAGGAAGACGAGGAGTACAATGGTGCCCTTGTGAACGTCAAGTGGCATTCTGTCAGCCGAAACTAAAGTTGACTCCAGTGAGCCTGTAACGATATTGTCGCCCAATACCGCCAACGTCGTATTGTCATTGGGTCCTTTGCTCCAATAAGGGATCTTATCCGGTTTATTGAGTTTCTTGGATGAGAGTAGTCTATTTTCTTGAATTACAATTACTCAAGATTGAGGAAAGAATAAACATGTAGGGCAAACACAACACAACCACATCTTTCAACTAAATTCTGTTTCACCTTACTGTCCACCACAAGCCATCCAAGCCTATCTAGGTCCTTGGGAGTGTCACGTGACCTCCAGGAGAGCGCAATGACACGCGGAGCTCGAAATCACGTGAGGCGTTCACAGCGCTGGGTCGGCTGGGATCGCTCTTCTGCTGCGGTCCGTTGCAAGTTAAAGCGAAGTTTATCAACCGACGTGTAGGAACTCTAAAAGCGAGCAACCGTGTCATCAAAGTCAGGTCTGTAGTCCTGACTTTGCATTTTATTTTAACGTGTCTCTCCTCCCTCACCTCTTAGTTACTTTTTCTTTCTTCGTTTTCCCGCCTTTAATCGGTTGCTCGCTTTTGGAATTCTTATATGTCCGTTGCTGGTTGAAATGTATGGCCGTGTCGACTTCGTCCTACATGTTTAATTTTTCCTTAATATTGACCCATACCAACACGCTCGTTCATCAATACATTTAATCCAATATACCCTTATTGGAGCACGATTTCTTCAATAAGCGCTTTCGTATTAAACTGTTTTAAATAGGCACAAATTCATAAGTATATATTTGCAGTTTTATTTTAGACAGTCGACACATTTTCAGAAACGTGTATTTTTATGTAAAATCTGCTGAATTTAATTTAAAAACTTTTTTAAGGCGACGTGGAGTTCGTTGGGCAGTTCAACAATTACAGTCCTGGTGGGGTCATGTAACAAAGGACGTTGCAACCCTGGTGATCCCTCTGAGTGCCGTAATATTACGCTAGGTGAGTTGGAAATATTTTGGTATTCGCACATAACATTACGACAAGCACCTCGTCCTCAATAAGGGTTATAATAACCAATGGAATTAGTCGGTAGTAGATAAAGTGTACGGATTCGTACCAGATAACGATCAAAGATGTGTTTCTGATATCGATATGTTTTTGATATCGGGGTATCCGGTTCCTGACATTGATACTATCTGCGATATTAATATGCGGGTATCTAGTATTTGGCATCGATCCTATCTATTAGGATATCCAATTGGCTTGGTGTGACGTAGGAGCACGCGATTATCCATTGGCGTGACGTAGGAGCGACCAATTAGCCAATCCAGATTGTTCGATAATCGTTCAAAAATTTATTATCGACCAATGATTGGTCATCGGACGATAGTCGATCATCGGCCAATAGATAGTCGCCAACGTCTGTGAAGTCATGTCACGTGACAACTGCGAATTTAATTCCTCCGAAAAAAGATTTTAAAAGACTTTCGCTTTTGTCCCTCGGCCGGGTTCGAACCAGCTCCCTTTCGTTCAGCAGCCCGTCGCGGTACCTCTCCGCCGTAGAGGCTTTTTTTTTTCTTTATTATCTCCGCCAGGAAGGCCTTTTTTTTCCTGTTGGATGCAATCAGGCATTACACAGATGCGGCTCAGACACTACACCTCTCTCTTGCACAGACCAGTCGCCATTTGCTAGTACATGAGGCCCTAACAACGTATCAAATCAACAAGATTGTCTAGCACACACAGCATTCTGGCGGTTGGCTCTGCAACTTTATAACTTCTCGTAAATAACAGACGCTCTCAATAAAGTAGTTTCTGACCGGTCGAGCGTCCAAGTCGACATGTCGAACAGCCATTCTGGACTTCCACATACTGTGGAGACTCAGCACCACAAACGGGGCACGCCCTCCTCGCTATTTGTCGCGAGGAAACGTGCCAAAAAGTGTTACTAGCAAACGTTTTTTTTTTTTTTATTTTTTTTAAGTACGTTGTAGAATATTTAAATGAAATACCGCATCCCAGCAGTCTAGAAATATATAATCTATAGTTTCTGGCTTTTTACATAAGAGACAATCAACTGACAAGGTCACAAAAATGTCTCTTTCTTGCTGCCAGGGTTTCACAGGGAGTGTATCACTATGGAGTTAAAAAAAGAATGATTTGACAGAAGGTCGCACCGGCCTGTTCTCCACTCGTTTTAAAACGTATTTTCCGGTGTCTACAGCATACAGATCGCGATACAAGGGTACTGGAAACACTACATCTGTTAACTCTCTATACAAACGGCTCATTGGAACCTCACTTATAGTCCGTTGTAACCTAAGAACGAAGGGCGAGGGTAAGACGGGCCGGGGAGGAGGAAGCAGACGGAAAGGGAAAGAGAGAAGGAGGGGTCTCCCTCTCTTCTCCAGCGTTCCGTCTGCTTCCTCCTCCCCGGCCCGTCTTACCCTCGCCCTTCGTTCTTAGGTTGCAACGGACTATGCGGAGGGCAAGTTCGTCTGCTCTTTGCGCAGGGGGTAGCGGTGACGTCAGAACGCCGAGCCCTGATTGGCTGATCGCGACCCCCTATCTGAGCGTCGTCTGCTCCTTTGCAACGTCGTCTGCTCCCAACGTCGTCTGCGCCTGTCTTACCTCTCCTGCGACTTTCGAAAGTGCAGAGGCCAGATTCACAAAACGATCTTACGCCAAAAATATGCGTAAGACAAAACTTGAGAACAAATTCGTATTCACGAAACGAAATTTTCTTAAGTTTTGCGCAGGGTACGACGAAATCCTACGACAGCTCCGAAGCTGTCTTACGCATTTACGATCAAATCAGCATGGCCGACAGCGTCGCGGTCGCGACGACCAATGGATGTTTACTTTTCTACGTGCGCTTCTCACGCGTCCCGACTTCAAGCAGCAAGAAAAAAAGTAAAAAGTACTTGAAACAGACCACGAAGAACAAGAACGCTTAATCCACAAACACCCGGGAAAAGCTCCAACGGCCACAATTCCACCGACAACGACCAAGCGAGCACGGCAGATAGGCCTAAAAGGCACTCCGACTCGGCGACCGTCTGCCCGACCGGCTGGCGTGCTAAATGGAATATGCCCGCGCGACCCTTGTGAACCCCTCTCGTCTTATACTTTGATCACTGACCTCAAATTTAGATTAAGAGGTCAATCTCTTCCTCTTGTCATCTCCTTGTTTTCCGAGGAAACGGTGACTCTCGCCGGTAAAAAAAGCGGGGAATCTCCGACAGACGCAGGAAAGGTAAAGCAGCCATCGCTTTCACTAGCAGACGACGTCAATTGCGCCAATCCACCGACGCTGTTAAAGAGCGAGAAGTCTCGCCGCACACGAATGGGGGGAAAAAGTACTTGGGAGGGAACTTGCGGACACTAACACGCTCACTCTCGGTTCTAAGCAAACAAACCTCGGCGCCTCGGGACACCTCGCCTGTAAGTCCTTTGACTTCCCTCCTTGATGCGCGTCTGCTAGTTGTTAGACAAAAACAACGTACCGCTCGAGTTATTTCGTCTGCCCCCTCTGAAAGGCGAAGTCGAGCTCGCTTGACTTCCGAAAGTCGCAGGAAAGGTAAGACAGACGCAGACGACGTTGCGAGCAGACGACATGGCAAAGCAGCAGATGATGCTCGCGATCGCGATCAGCCAATCAGGGCTCGGCGTTCTGACGTCACCGCTACTTCTTTTCTCATGCGCTGAAGACGAAAATGAGCCCACTTGCGAGGCGTATAGGTATTCCATGGAGAATAGCACTTTGAAAAACTGGAAGGCTTGCACCGCTGCATACAGAAAACCATGAGCTCTCAAAATCTTTACATCAGTAGTAGAGACGACAAAATCAGGCAGTGCGTCTCGCAGTCCAACTTGAAGTACAGTTCGCACAAAAGGGTCCTTCTGATTCCTTATAAAAAGAAAACTGGGTACCTCCTGACGGAGAAACAAGTGGAGTAAACCAAGTCCACCACTTTGGACGGCGCAAAACAAATTTGTACGGCTCATGCGTTCCCATCCCGAGTCCCCTACAAAGATCTCAAACACTCTATGCAGCTTCTGGATGCTGGCCCTCCACATTTACATCACCTAGAGGACGTACAAACGTTTTTGCGACAATAAACATACTACAAACTATTGAACGGCCAAACATTGCCATGTCGCCCGCCCCGCCCCGCCCTCCTCCCCCCCCGCCCCCCCCCCCCCCCCCCCCCTTTCGCACTTTAAAGTTTTTACTCGGGTCTGTGTTCCGGTAACCCGCGGCGTCTCTGTAGTACGCTAGTGGTACCCCGAGGTACTTAGCTGGAAAACGAGTCCACTGTATGCTTTCAAAAATAGCAGGTACGTTTTCCCAACTTCCGTGCCAGAAGCCCTGATGTTTGCCCCAGTTTATAGCACTGCCCGACAACTTACGGTACGAGAGAGCCCCCTTGACAACTTCACTGACACTCTCCGCGTCGTGACGAAAAAATGATACGTCGTCTGCGTGGGAGAGAACTTTGACTTCGTTTGCCAATAGTCCAAATCCCTTTATTTTCTTATTATTAAGAGGCTTTAAACAAAAAGACTCTAAGTAAATGGCGAACAACAAGGACGATAACAGACACCCTTGCCTTACGGAGGACCGTACCTGGAAGCCTTCACAAAGATTCTTATTAACAAATATGTTCGCAAAACACTTTTTATAAGCCATTTTCACCCCATCTAGCAGTACAGCACAAAGGTCGATATGTTCTAGAATGCCAAAAAGAACTGTATGCACAATGCTATCAAAAGCTTTTTCTAAATCAAGCTGCATCATTGCAACTCGGTCCCCTAGCTGTGGCGTCACAGCATTCTAATATGCTCCTTGCCACGTGAATATTGGTGTTGATGGTTCGGCCTCTAAAGCGACACTGATAGGGTATTTATGCTCGCCAAGGTTTTTACTTGTACGTGACATAAGAGAGCCCAACTGCCCAGAACAGAATTTGCGGCTCGAAATTCGGTTTCTTTCCGCCCTAAAATCGCCGATCGAGAACTGGCCGGTTTGAGTCGCGCTCACTCTCTTTCAGATTGTCACGGGCCGTTTTCTAAGGTTTAGACCCGACAACCAAATTTAATCAAAGTCGTGGGTCATTGAAGGCACACAGTCGGTACTAAAAATAGAAAAAAAAAATATGAAACCAATTTTTTGTGGCTTCCGAAAAGCTGCAAATATTTTGATTGAAAAAAAAAAATGATAGAGACAATCGGAAGCATTCTGTGCGTTCACTGCATAATTCTCAACATGGCGCCGTTTCGCGTTTCGTGGGCCTCGCGAGTGACAGTGGAGAAGGGGAGTGGGACTTCTACTTCAGAACTGTCGTTCACGGTACCGGCGAATTCTGTATTCGTTTGAAAGAGAAATTTTGGACCGATCAAAAAAATTGGTATTCATCCCGTACGACACGCCCGACCAGCAAGCCGATTGCACGAACACGTCGACGAGCCGTTGTCCCTTCTCGTAGCTGAAGACATCGCTCGCGCAAACGTCAAGCACGAAGTGCGTACTTCGAGTTGAATACGCACGCGTACGGTTTCTTTACTAGGTACGAATGTGGCCAAAGCGTGGTGCTGCCCGACTTCAAACCGGGAGTGCATGTTCTGGAGGGAAATCGGCAACAAACATTCCGACATACAGTCGACCGGCTGAATTACTACGAACGAAGGAGTGTCTCAGTGCATTCGCGTTTCAAAACTGCAACTATGACCCATGTGCCCACCGTATATGCTTCCATGCAATAAAGAAAAAAGATTTTCTTCAGTAGCTCAGTGGAAAGACGCCCACTTCACACGCGGCGGGCACGGGTTCAACACCTAGTGTGGGCGTACCTTTTCTTTTTTCAAACATTTTGCGATGTTTACAATTTTTTTACAATTATTCCTGAAAAGACATTTGTTGTGGAGAATACGTCACTGAACTAAATAGTATGGAATTCTATGTTTGACACCTCTGCCGCACAATGCCACTTTCAGATGCAGGACATGTGAGGCAGCTCTTCACGCAACATCTTGGGAGTATTCTTTTCGGAGCCGATCACGGGAATTCACCAAAAGCACTCACTACTAATTGGCAACACCTAATAGAACAAAACTCATCTTGAAGCGCAGAACAGCGAGCGGAACAAACATAACTGCAGAGGAATCGCACAGCGAACGGATCCCGCAACGCATTTCGTCTGCTGCGAGCGGAAGAAAAAAAAAATCGCACGGTCGGGTGTAGCCACGTGACTTCCGCCACTCAATCTCACCTCTCCACTTCTTCGTGCGGTGCGGGGGTTTCTGTTTCGGTTTCGAGCAGTTGCGTTTTTTGGCTTTATTAAAAAATACGTGACTTCGTCGCAAAATACTAATTGGGTAGTATGCGTCAACCGTAATGAATCGCCTGGCAACAAATGAAAAAATAATTTTGGGGGGTGTCAGTGTCCCTTTAATGCCGCAAGTTTGGTGCGGCCCTACAATTTTGTTTATTACGTTTTGCAGTCTCTATGTAAAGACCTTCATAAAGATCTTATAGTCGACGTTCGCTAAGCTGATTGGACGATAGGACACCACAGACAACAATTTAACTGGATCATAGATTTTAGGAATCAAAACAATATGCGTTCTTTGAAAAGAAAGGGGAAGTTCATTTTCCTTGTACGACTCAGATAACACGCGACCCAGCACTTCAGCCACTTCGCCTTTGAAAGGCTTATAAAAACCAGTGCTCAAACCGTCAGGTCCGGGCGACTTACCGAGCGGCGATTCGACGATTGCTTTTTCTATTTCACACGCACTAATCGGCACTTGCAGGCCTGCTTTAACTTCCTCGTCCAACTTTGGCATGAGTGGCAAAAATCTTGTTTCAAATCCGCCTTTAATATCTCTTTCAGCTCCCAAAAGGTTTTGGTAATGCTCAAAAATTGGCGCGCTCAATCAAGGCTTTATCGCAGGTGATCGGTTATGGTGCCTAGATTGTACTGGAATCTTTTACGCGCTGGAATAAAAAAATTAGTACGGGGCGTACAGGTAAACAAAGGCGTACACAAGAGCCCGAGTATGCGTGAATTGTGAAGTGCACACTCAACTCTACTACGCAGTGCAGGAACTGATGTAAATTTGCCGTTCATAAAAGAAGAAAATGGATTCCTGCAAGATTCCCGTATTTGAAATGCGGATATGGTGCCTATATTTCTAGATCACCATGATTGGCACACCAGAATGTGCCGGTCTTATTTATAAAAGCGGGCATGGAAGACGGCGTAAACATGGTGTGCTGATCAAGTAATCTAGGCACCATATCCGTATTTCAAATACGGGGATCTTGTAAGAACCCATTTTCTTCTTGTATGAACGGCAAATTTTCATTAGTTCCAGCATTGCGTAGTAGAGTAGAGTGTATACTTCACAATTCACGCATACTCGGGCTCTTGTGTACGCCTTGGTTTACCTGTACGTCCCGTACTAGCTCTTTCATTCCAGTGTGAAAACGATTCCAGGGGAAAGGTAGACTCAGAGCGCCCAAAATCGCACGGCGTAATAATTACCATTGTATATTAAATAATTTTCAAAGATGACTGCATATATACCAAATATTTTCAGCACGGTATAAAAACTTTCACATTATGTTTTGTAAAAAAACACGCACATTTGACCAAAATTTGTAATACAAAAACTCTCCGGCTAATTGTTTCATTTTTATTAATATAATTTTAAATAAGGAAAAATGGCATCGAATATGTGCTTCTTCGTTATTAAAATGTGCGTCTTTATTTGCATGCAAAACCGAATATCATAAACCCCAATTTTAATACATTTTTATTTTCAGTTGGAGGGGACACTCAAGAAGAGGAAGAAAAAATCGAAGACGAATACTACGAGGAAGATTACATCGACGACGAATATGACGAGGAAGAGGAAATCGAAGACGAATATGAAGAGGAAGAGGAGGACAAGGAGGAAGAGTATGATGATAATTAAGAAGAGCAGGCGCTAGAAAATGAATAAATCTTTCAAAATAAAGTTCTTTTAGCTTATACTGCTTCAGGAAATGGAAGCCCTTTCACAAGTGTCGACTACAATTCAAGCATACCCTTCGTAAAAAGTCGTTCAAAATCAGCACAGTAGAAGTGTACTGAAGTATACTAAAAGTATACTTTAGGTGTAGTTTTGGTACTGAATGTATACTTTAAGTGTACTTAAAGTATACATCCAGTAAAAATGGTGGCCGATTGAAAGTATACTCGTCCATACAAAACTTGTACATGTAGTAGAATCGTAGTGCCCGCCGTAAAACGTCGTCCAAAATCAGTATAGAGGAAGTGCACTTAAGCATACTAAAGGTCTACTTTCAGTGCATGTAGTCGGCTTACTCAAATTCGAAATACATGTATATATTTACATATATATATATATATGGGTGATTTCATCTCAAATCGGGCAGGCTAAAAGGGTCTAATTTTTAATTTTCTAAAAAAAAATATATGTTTTTGGGGTATTTCTCAAATGAAGGAGGGCGCAAACCGCATGTTCTCCCGATTTTTGTTCTCGAGTTACGAGCCGTAGAAGCCGCAGTGGCAGAAACGAGTGTTTTTGCCTGCCGTCGCAGGTCGCGTGTTTGACACCCTCTGCTGACGTTATTGTATTCTCTACACCCTTACTCTAATAAACAATAAAATTCCTAAAACTATTCGAATACATCAAGGTATCTATATAATACCTATTAAATGAGGGGGGAAAGTTAAAAAGGTGTAGAGAAAACAATGGCGCCAGCAGAGGGTGTCAAACACGCGACCTCCGACGGCAGGCCAAAACTCTAGTTTCTGCCACTGCGGCTTCTACGCTTCGGAACTGAAGAACAAGAAATCTGGAGACCATGCCGTTTGCGCCCTCATTTATTTGATAAACATATATTTTTTTCGTGAAAATTAAAATTCATACTTTTTTATTCTGCCCGATTTGAGATGAAAATTCCCATATCGGGCAGGCTCAAAGGGTCCAGCTTTTAATTTTCACAAAAAAATATATGTTTAGGGGCATTTCTCAAATGAATGAGAGCGCAAACCGCAAGTTCCCCAAATTTTTTGTTCTCGAGTTACGAAGCGTAGAAGCCGCAGTGACAGAAACTAGTGTTTTTGCCTGCCGTCGCAGGTCGCGTGTTTGACACCCTCTGCTGGCGCTATTGTTTTCTCTACACCCTTTTAACTTTTCCCCCTCATTTAATAGGTATTATAAAGATACCTTGATGTATTCAAATAGTTTTAGGAATTTGATTGTTTTCTAAAAAACATGTCAAACTCGTCACCCCGGTCGCTTTTCGGTCAAATTTGACAGGTCATTACTTTGTCTATACTTAAGGTAAATTTTCTTTATTTGGCTCTACAGAAAGCCCGAAGCAAGCCCATTATAGATATAATAATATCATTATTATCTGCCAAGTAGCCGTTCCGCTACCTTCACGTAAACGTTGTGAAAAATAACAAATGTTCACACATTTCACACGATTGCGGCTCAAACAGAGGACATACAACCAAAATATTACATTTCTAGACTGTTTTTTCTTGTAGTCTACTAGTATGTCTAAAAGAATTTAAAAAATAAAAATTTACAAAAATGGGGTTTTTGAGAAAATCGACCTCAAACTTTCAACATATGTTATTTCTTACAACGTTTACGTGAAGGTAGCGGAGCGGCTAGTCGACAGATCATAGTGATATTATTATATCTATAATGGGCTTGCTTTGGGCTTTCTGTAGAGCCAAAGAAAGAAAATTTACCTTAAGTACAGACAAAGTAATGACCTGTCAAATTTGACCGAAAAGCGACCGGAGTGACGAGTTTGACATGTGTTTTAGAAAACAATCAAATTTCTAAAAATATTTGAATACATCAAGGTATCTTTATAATACCTATTAAATTAGGGGCAAAATTTAAAAGGGTGTAGAAAAAACAATAGCGTCAGCAGAGGGTGTCAAAGACCTGCGACGGCAGGCAAAAACACTAGTTCCTGCCACTGCGGCATTACGGCTCGTAACTCGAGAACAAAAAAATCGGGAGAACATGCGGTTTGCGCCCTCCTTCATATGAGAAATACCCCCAAAACATATATTTTTTTGTGAAAATTAAAAATTAGACACTTTTAGCCTGCCCGATTTGGGATGAAATCACCCATATATATATATATATATATATATATATATATATATATATATATATATATATATATTGTAATCCCTCAACATTCTGTCGCGTCAGCGTTTTGGCGCGCCGTGGCGGCCGCGCTGGCGTAGCGAGAGGTGGCACTGCTTACCACTGTGAGTGGCTTCCTCCTCTCCCCCTTTGGGGCGATTTCCGTAACGAACCCCCGCACAAAGGAGATCGACGTGTCGTTCCTTGATTGGCCACTTCGCCCCCGCTGTTATCTTAAAACCAGCGGACAGCAGGATCTCGCTTCTCTCTTCTTCCTGGGATTCGGCGGCGGCGACAACGGGGAACCGTCCGGCGCACCGGTGAGCGCTTTCCCCGTCCTTTGTACCTTTGTGAACGACCGTTCGGCCGTGGGCGATCTGCACAACGACGGCGTTCACCAGCTTATAGCCGCTGTTTTGTTGTTATTTGTTTCATTGTAAATAAATAGAGTTTATCACCGTTACTAACGTGTCTGGTGTCTGTTTGCGCTCAACGAGCAGCATGCCACGCGAGTACGAACCCGCTTCGCGGTAGAGCGTCTCGCTGCGAACGTGGTACTCCCAAAGGCAGTGGCCCTAAGGCAGGCTTGTACCGTACGCATTACAAGTAATCAAATTACTTGTAATCGAATACTTTTTGGAGTAATTTTGTAATCAGTTGATTACTTAGGCAGTAATCACAAGAGTAATCTGATTATTTTTTGAAGCAATAAAATTACTTGTAACCGTTACAATTTGTCCACGGGACCCCCCCCCCCCCCCCCCCGGCACAAGCCTTTTGTTTATGAAATGACAAAAATAAAAGTTGCTGTTTTTTTTTTAACGGAAAAAAGAAAGATTTTTGCGGAGCTGTAGGAAACAAGGTCAATCTCTTTCTATGTACAGTTTCTCTAAAATGTCCGTTTTTTTTTTTTTTGTTTTTTCGAGCTGGGACTGGGAGTGGCAAGCCCCAGGGAAGCCACAGTGCCTGACAAAGGCCATTCAGGGCGAAGCTTGAGGAAGCAGAATATTGCTTTGTAAGTCCTTCGTTCAAACTAGCCCCCTCACGCACACACACACGGAAATAAAAAAAAAATAAAAAATCCTGCTTAGGGTACCTACTCGCAGCCCGTAGGAGATCCAGAACCGAAGAATGCCTAAAGCGGATGCAAAATATAACAAAGGCAGTTGATATATTTCCCCTGCGTGGTCTTTGTGCCAAGCAATGTTTCGAGTCGAGAAGTGGTCGGGGCGATCTCTTCCGCTAATGGGTACTACACATGAACCGTTTCAAATCCTGGAGCTGCTGCTCTTTTGTATAACATGCGAGCTCATCCACATGTGAATAATAAAATAAGCGACGCAAACTTTGAGCGACAACCCTTGCTCAAGCTTAACAAGGTCTAGAGCCCCCTCCGCTCCCCCCCCCCCCCCCCCCTACACACACACACACACTGGCGAACGCCCAAATCATTAAACGTCTTCAAACGAATTCTATGCTTGTGCCCGCAATGTGAAGGTGCAACGACCACGAAGAGGGAGCCAGTTTTTCTTCTTCAATACTTGTGCAAATATGAAATATAGGTTGGAAGTAGTTCATTGTTATGAGCGTTAAAGATGTGTCTTCACACAATAAAGTACTCGGAACAGTAACGATTACTTCTTTAAGTAATGTCCAATTACTTTTGCCATCGAGTAATCAAGTAATCTAATCGAATACTTTTTAGCCAAGAGTAATAGTGATTTTAATCGATTACTTTTTTTTAGTAACGTGTACAAGACTGCCCTAAGGAGAACCACAATTTGGCGCCCAACGTGCGGCATGCCACGCGAGTACGAACCCGCTTCGCGGTAGAGCGTCTCGCCGCGAACGTGGTACTCCCAAAGGCAGTGGCCCCCAGGAGAACCACAATTTGGCGCCTAACTAAAGGTCTGACGACCAGAATTCCGGTACGTCTGTGTGTGGCAACTGCTGCCGAGTGACAACTCCTCGCGCAACCAGTGCTTACCGTGACGATGCAGACCGACTTCTCGGGTTTGCTCAAGCTGGCGACCGTGGCCGACGCATTCGCGCTGCCCCCACTTCAACGGGAAGCCGAAATGCCAACCCTCCAACGAGAAGCGCCATACAGCGCACCCCTGGAGCCGAGCGTGGTTCCGACGCCATTGCGGACGGGCGCCATCGCTCCCGGATTTTCCCTGAATGGACCTGCTCCGCCGACGGCACAAAGCGAAGCCTACCGGTCTCCCCACGGAGAAACCGCGACGGCGCCTCATGACACCTTGCTCGAAAACGCGGCACGTGTGATTGAGAGTCTGACAGGTGCGTTGCGAACGAGAACACTCGTACCACAGGCCCAACGACCTCCGGTCCGAATTCCCGTCCCGACTTATCGGGGTTACGCAGACAGAGCGAGCGCTATGGACTTCCGTGCCGATTTACGGAAGTACCAACGCGCGATGGGAATGTCCGATCGTGAAAGACTTGAGCGCATTCTGCCAATCGCGCTCGTCGACGAAGCCGCTCGCTGGTTCCGACTTGTCGGTGACCGACCCGGAACGCTCGATCAGTTCCGAGAAGCGTTCCGCCATGAATTCCTTCCCGCTGACTACGAGAGAAGGATGCGGCGGGAGCTCGAACAGCGAACCCAGCATCCGGACGAGTCCCTGCTGGAGTTCGTACGAGCCATGCAAGAGCTCTTCGAGCTCGCGGAACCCTCGGCTCCCAATGCAGAGCGAGTGGAACGCGTCATACGCCAAAGCCACCCGACT